AGTCGGACGGCGCCAAGTCCGGGCTGTACGGCGGGTGATCGAACTGCTCCCAATGAAACTGTCGAATTAACGACTGAGTGACACCAGCAGTATAGGGCCGAGCATTGTCATGGAGCAACACAATTCCTTTACTGAGCATTCCTCTTCGTTTGTTTTTGAATGGCACGCCTTAGTTTGTTGAAAGTCTCACAATATCGTGCCGCACTAATGGTTTCACCTCTGGGAAGAAATACAGTAAGCAAAACGCCTTTCCTATCCCAGAAGACAGTGCACATGATTTTTTGTGATGACATTGTCACTTTGAACTTTTGTTTTTTCGGAGAATGAGTGTGTCTCCACTCCATCGATTGTTGTTTCGATTCTGGCGTGAAATGAAACACCCAAGTTTCATCAGCTGTCACAATTTGGTTTAAAAAGTTTTCTCCCTCATCACTGTACCGCGTGAGAAATGTCAGGGCACTACCCAGTCGCTTTGTTTTCTGAACATCAGTGAGCATTTTTGGGACTCATCGGGAACACAGTTTGCGATCATTCAAGCGGTCAGACACAATTTCGAACAAAACAGTACGTGAAATTTGTGGAAATGCCTCTGAAAGAGTGTCATTGTGAAGTATCTTTCTCATGAATTGCTTCACGACTTTCCTTACCAAATCATCGGTGACAACAGAAGGCCGACCACTCCGAGCCTCGGCGTGGACATTTGTTCGACTGCATTAAACATTCTTACGCACTTTCTCACCATTCCATCACTATCGCGTATTCACCGTAAAGTTCTGTCACTTGGGGATAAATTTCGGCCGGTTTAACATTCCTCGCGTTCAAAAATTTAATCACGGCACGAATCTCGCAGTCTGCGGGAGAACTAATTGTCTTAAACATTTTGAATGTTCACACCAAAATGAAAACACAACATAGAGCAACCAAAATGGCGACAATTGAAAGTCAGTGAACAAGAAAGACCAGTGCGCATGCGCGGGACGCCTACCACAGCGCTGCGACGGCGCTAGAATGAAACGGTACTTAGTTTCGGAATACGCTACGTAATTTCGTTTTGCCATTTTGTATTGAAAACTTTAAATGTCGGTTCACTTTTCGAACTGTTGCCACCAATTATTACAGCCCTGTCTTATATTTAAAGAAATTAAAATAATGAAGAATCTGCGTAAATGTATGTATGCTTCTAGCATTGTGATAAAACGACGGTACCTACAGCCATCAAATTTTGAACAAAGTACGTTTCCGCCCGGAGCCCAAATTTGGACTTTGGAATTTGTTTTATTATCGATTTCATATTTTGTAAAACTTTAACAAATTTTTGATTAACAAACTCAACGATTTCAAAGCGAGCAGTTGCAAAACTGTACCAAAAAAAAAAAAAAAAAAAAAAAAAAAAAATTATCTCCAGCCTGCGAGACTGTGTATCGGAAATTCTAAAGATAGGCTCACTTTAAAATTATTTTGCGATATTGCTCTTGAAGTGAATTTTATGATTTGAGTGCAAAGAACACTATATTTAATAAATAAAGTAAAGTTAACTCACAAAACGTTAAAAAACGCTCCTTCGTAATGTATAATTCGAAGGCTTTCAGATTTTTTTATTGATAGTATTTTTTAAATTATAATAGTGAAATAAATGTCATTGAGCTTCCGTAATTATTAAGTACTGTAGTACAGATATGTGATACAGTATTTCATATAGAAAAACGAAGTATCATGATAATTTTGCTGTAGCATCGTACAAGTTAAATATCAGAGAAGAAAATTATGAAAACTTTCAAAGATTTTTATCTTTGATATTATTTGATAATGCGATAAAAGAGGAAGCTTTAATCTATTAAACTAAATTTTGGAACACTTTTAAGAATATGGAAATTATTTTTATCCCGCCGTTTACTGCTCCAGGATGAAGGTGAAGAGATAAAAAACTGCGTGGAGATGCAGGCCATAAGATTTTCATCAATTTCCTGAGTTTTCTAAAAGTAATAAGAAAGAGCAAATTGCGTTGTACTGTAATTCAGCTTGATTCAATTCAGTGGGCAATTCAGCGTGAGCAATAGATAAGATTTGATGACAGAGGTTAAAAGAAAGGTTAAGTCATTCGTCGGATTCAGAATGGAACACTAGTTATAATATAGTTTCCCCCGCCTTCTTAGCATGCCTTCGCGGTGTAGTGGTCAGTACACTTGGCGCTTATTCGAGAGGTCCGTGGTTCGAGTCCCAAGAAGGTCAGTGCTTATTTTTCATCTTTTCTGCTTCGAAAAATCTTAATGTCTCTACAGTGCAGCCCGAACTAAAAATGTGGTGGATGATGTTTCTCCACTACCAGGATTTGGCGATTGATTCGCCTAATCCCCAGTTGCCCTTTTAAAAAAGGAGTATATAAGGTATTTCTCCCTCCTTCATAGCGCGCCTTCGTGGTGTAGTGGTCAGCACACTCGGCGCGTATTCGAGAGGTCCGTGGTCCGAGTCCCGGTGAGGGCATTGTTCGTTTTTCATGTCTCCTGCTTCGAAATAGCCTAATGACTCTATATAGTATGAATGTCATCTTATAATTAGACATCAAGGCCAAATAATATATGCAGCGACAGTGTATACCCATTCCCGGGAATATTCGGGAGGCTATGCTGCAAGATTTAGTTAATTAACCCGGCGGAAGTCGCACCAAGAAAAGTTACTAGAGTGGGCGCGTGGGGTATCACATACCCCAATATTTAAAATACGATAAAAATAGTTTTATTTAGTTTTAAAGCTGTTTTCCTTGTTCTCGTGTATTATAAATGCGTGAATAAAAATTAGGTTTGAAAAAAATTAATTTCCAAAAATTAAGATAAATGAAAATATAAAAAAATAAACATCATGCTTCTAAGATTCATTACATCTCTAACCTCCTTGTTATTCTGGCAATTGAATAATTGGCTGACATTTCATACCCCATATCCACTGCTCCTTTAATCATATTATAAAAACATGTAATTCCTGACGTTTTATTTTCTCCAATAGTATCATCTATAGTATGATCGTTGTATAATGTTGAAAGCATAAGAACAGTTTTTCCTTTTTTAGGGACATTAGGAATTAATGTTTTATCTTTTTCGAAACCAAAACAGTGTAGAAAATATTCCTAGTTTCATCTTCAGTTTCCGAAATGCAATCTTCCTCGCTTTCAAATATTTCTAATAAATCTCACAGGCGTTGCATCTCCAATTCATAGGGAGTCATTCTTTTTACCTTTACCATAACGCGGTTAGAAATTTTCAAGAATTTAATGTCAAGTACTTTAAAATCACTTGCGAGTAGAAATATTTAAAGTTACACTTTAGAATTAAATTTCTGAACTAAATATTCGGTCAGAAAAACACTTACGCGGACAGGCGCGTGGGGTGTGTCATACCCCAGTTCCAACAAAATACCGATAAATATTTTTCTGAAACACACAGACAAAGAAAAAGCGGTTCTGAAAGTCAACCACAACTAGAAACTCAGCTACTGAATGCAGCACAGAATTTCAGTTTCTCAAGATAGGAATATTCCACTTTTATGTAAGGGTGGGGTATGATACACCCCACGCGCCTTCCCGCGGGTTAAATCGATATTTGATATAATAAAATATTATTTACAGCAAAAAGGTATTTTTATTTTCTGAAACAATTTAGCAATCAAGACGTGCTTTGCAAAGACTGCCACTACACCAAGGGTCGGTTATTTTACTGGGTGAGATCTGTATTGTGAGAGATTCGGCTCTGAGGATATAAGATACACGAACCTGAGGTTCCTGTAAACAGTGCGCAAGGAACATATGACTTGCAGTTCAATTAATTGGTATGCCCACTAGGGAATCCATATGGAAAGTCCCGTCTGGAAAGTGGCAAATTTGCCGACGTCTCTCACCAACTTCAGGGGGGAAACCCCTAATATAATAACCCTTTCATCAGAAACCCCTATACCGACAATGTTAAATTGGCCATTTTCGATGTACTTTTTCTCAAAATCTGCTGTAGATACAAGCTTGAAATGGTTTCTGTAATTAAAGTATACCTATCTGATTATACCGAAATGAGCTTTTGAAACATTTTGAATTTTGGAGTAAATTACAGAATATTTTGTTAGGCATAGTGAAATTTAGCACTTTTCTCACACAAAAACCTAAAAAAAAAAAATTATTTCTAAGTTTCTTACTAAAAGCACATTTCAGTAAATATTAGGGAACCTAATAAATAAGCCATAAAAAGTTTAGATACCTATCAGCAGTAGTTCCTGAGAAAAGGTACATCGAGTATAAAAAATTCACGTTTGGAGAAAAACGCGTTTTTATGTAAAAATCCTCACTGATCAAAGCAGTAGATGACAAATTAAAACTAGATTTTTTTACATTTCTAATTTTCATGGAGATTAAGGATGTTATTTTTAGAAAGATAAAAGTGTAGAGAATTTGAAAATGCAAAAATCCGAAATCACAATTCTTTGAAGATTTTGGGGTTTCAACACCCCTTCACAGGTTCGATACCCTTCGAGATGTGTAAAGGTTTCTTTTTTATTTGAAGGTGGGCGGGCGTCTGAAATTCTATCAAGGTCACTTAATCATCAGGATCACATGTAGAACGTACAACTGGGAAAATGATGGCACATCGATAAACGAAAGCAAAGTTTAAATAAATTTCTGAAATTTCATTTTTAAAACTAAAGTTAGTCTTTCATTCAAAATGAAACTTAACTCACGGGAAGGATATTGTTTTGACATTAAACACATCTGGATGCATACGCAATATAATAAAACAAATTTTCAATTCAAATTCATAATAATTTTGTGTGTGTGTGTGTTATGCAGTTGCTGCTTACAACATCATTTAGATCTTCAGCCTACAATGTAATGTATTATATACCCTTTGGGGAAAGACATTGTATTTGTTATGAACTACTGAACTGAATACAGAGATTTTTGCTTAGTACTTTTATAAAATGGCAGAAAGGAAAAGAAGGATTTAGTTGTCCATGCTGCTTACCGATATATGGTTTGAAGTGATAGAGTGCTTCGAATCCCGTGCCGTCAAATTTGTCGTTGGACTTGAAAGTGACGCGGAAGAAATCTCCATCAGATTCGATCACTTTGGGTCTTTTGACGCCGCAGTGACGCGGTATCTTGCGGTCGACAGAACGGAAGTTGGAAAATTCCACATAATCACTGGCAGTTTCTGTGGTGCATCTAATGTAAAGAATCAGATAATGAATGTTAAGTACATCAAATAATTTCGCAAAATGTCATTTAATATCTAAATAAGCCGGGCATGAAATGTACATACACATACATGAGAGCTATATTAAATTTATTAATTCAGACTAAATAAAAATTATTTGTAGAAAATACAAACACATTCAAAATTGAAAGGATGTTATAGAAAAATCTGAAAGATTTCATATCTTATATTAATGCTGAAAGGGGTGTTTTGCTTCCAAGGAAGATTCAAAACAGGATTTTAAAAATGTTATTATTTATGCTCACTTGTATGACAGTAACATCGGACCAAGCCCAGGAAATTCCTCGCGGTAAGAGGCGCAAGATACGCCCGTCGATGGCAACAGTCTTGAGCACCTTATAGGTTATAGTGCGATTTACGTCAGTTCCGTCCCCAATTTTTATGCATCTCGGGTAGGTGCCAACGGTCTCCCACCCTCTCCCCATCCATCAACCACACCAAACCACTTCTGCTCGCCACATATTTAGAGTGCCGCCATACCGCAACGACACTATACATTTACAAACATTCATGCCTTCTCCGGGATTCGAATTCAGGTCCTTCGGCATGGCAGTCAGCGACGTTAACCAATATACCTGTTCGGCGGCCTAAAAAGTGATACAGACATTCAAAATCATTCGACGCAAAATACCGTTAAACATTGTAACGTCTTACCTCCGCTAGGCTACCAACATAACACCAGTAAGCAAATACACAGAAACCTCGCGTATGATATATCCGTGCTTGAAGATGCATGCGATGTTAATCTTAATGGAGCTCTTTGAAATCGTTAAGTTTGTTAATCAAAAATTCGTTAAAGTTTTACAAAACGTGAAAAAGATAATAAAATAATCCGTATATTCCAAATTTGGGCTTTCCAGATTCCAATTCTCGAGGGAAGGACTACGTTATTCAAAATTAGATGACTCCAGGTAGCGTTGTTTTTTCACAATGCAAGAAACATACATATATTCATTCAGATTCTTCATTATTTAATTTCTTTAACCCTTTGCGGCACAGTTTGTCCGGTCTGGACACACCTAAAAATTTTCTTCTGTACGCACAGAAAAATTGGATGAAAAAGGATATATAGGTTACTATAGGTTATTCTGAACATTCTTTTTTTATAGTAGATGGCAGCTCAACACAAACCAGTCCATATATTTTAGCCATGTTTAGTTTTTTAAGACCCTCATTTTTCAAGGAAATCTTCCAGATTTTTTTTAGGGTATAAAAGGAATTGTTTAAAAAGAAATTTCTATGTTATATTTTCGCTGTATGCTAATCTCCTTATTCCATATTAGTTTTAAATTTTTACCTTGAAATCTTGCTAAAGTAAAACGGCGAACCCTAGGTGTGCCCAGACGAACTGAGAGTTTGTATTCTTTGTTTCTTCGCATCTCATCGGTCAGGTCATTGACAATAATGCTCGTTTCAGCACTCTTTTCGAAGCTCTATTCAATCAGTGTGACACTTTAGGCACATCCCACAGAATTAAAACTGTAAGTGATATCTTCACAAAAGTTTACTTGTGTACTCAACTAAGCCTAATTAGACTGCCTTCCTTTTCTTCATTTTATCGAAACTTTAAAAGGTATCGTTCCGGAAAGAGTTAAATACAATTGAGGGCGATATAATATCTGGCGGAAACAATTTGAAAGGTGAAAAGCCAATTTATAGTGAACCAACTCAAAACGCCAAAACAAAATTACAAACAAATTTGGGCTAATGCCCATTTGGACTGATAAATAACCTAGAACCTAATTATACTTTATACAAAACAGATATTCATCCCGCGCGCGATGAGGAAGAAAAAAATTTTAGTCAATAATAGCTTTCAATAGGTGTTGGTGTATTTAATTATGGCAAAGCACACGAGGGCTATCTGCCTAAAGGGAGGGATGCCTTTCGTGGAGGACTTTCTAAGGGAAACTGGCTCGTATACACGTTACACATGGGGAAAACCACGAAAACGCCCATGCAGCCAGCCCGTTCGCGGGATTCGAACCTCAGACCGAACTACCAGTGTTCAGCGTCTTTACCGCTCGGCCGCTGGTGGGCAGCTTTCAATAGGAAAAGAAAAGTATTAGTTCTAAATAATATACATAAATAGCTAAGTTCAAATACATGATAATGATTGATAAACATACATGATAATGATGATTCAAATACATGATAATGATTGATAATGAATAAATAAGTTTATCATAAACTGCTTCAATTGTAGATCATATAATTTAAATTTAGATAACCTACCATTCTGTAGTCAGGGATAACTAAATTCAAATCAATAATAATTATTTATAATGAGTGTGACTAATTATCACAAGCTAATTAAATTAATTTAATATAATCTGAAATTAATTAAATCCCGCCATTTTATAATTTGGGTGTATAGTCATACACAAATAACGTACCGTATAAATATGAGACAATGTTAAACAATGTTATTATGGCGAAGCGCGATGATGAATTTCTGAAAATACACTCCTGAACATTCCATTGTCTTACGTTAAGGGAACTCATACACCTTAAACCCCCTCATGATCTTCGAACATGTGACTGTTGCAAGAATTGGGATATTTTATTTATTTTAAAAGCAATTACTTCCAACTTTTTACAGCTGACTACATAATATAGCTGCTTTGGAAACTAGTAACCAGAAAGTCTTGTGTTGACCACAAATATTTTTGTAATTTAATCCTGCTTTGTGACAAAATTTTTTTATACGTTCCATCACGGTGTTTCCACCTTGCGCATGATATTTTAAAAATGGCTAATGGTACATACTTGAAATTTGATTGGAATTCTTTATATGGGCACTATTTTCTAACTGAACCAACAAATCTTGATGAATATTTTAATATTGAAAAAATTTTATGGACGAAAACATTACAAATTTTTTTAATAAAATGCACATTTTATATAACTCAACTCAAAATAAAATAAAAATTTAACACGAAATGTTTAGAATTTTAGGTTCACAGTAGTTTCCAAATGTTATAAAAGCTATATATTAAATATGGAATTAAATTATGAAACAGAATGTTTTAAACTGTGCGCGCAAGTTGGAAAAAATGACGAAAAAATGTTGTCATAAAGCGGATTAAATTATAAAAATATTTGTGGCAACACAAACTTTCTGATTACTATTTCAGAAAGCAGCTATATTATGCAATCAGCTGTAAAATGTTGGTAGTAATTGCTTTTAAAATAAATAAGTTACCCCAATTCTTGCAACAGTAACCTATTCGAACATCTTATGGGTTTTAAGGTGTATGAGTCCCCTTAAGCAGCATCTAAACACATGTTAAGATAAATTTTCACTTACCTTTTAACATTTAAATAGAAATAGATTACATATTTTGTTAAGTTACGGTTTCTAGAAGCGACGTCTTGAATGTAAAGTTTGTTTGCCCTAGTTCGTATAGATATATAGTATCTATTTATAGGTATAGCTTATTATGACAAACCACACTAAGGCTATCTGCGATAATAGATGAGGGGGATGCCTTCGTAAAGGATTTTCTAAGTGAACTGGCTCGTATACAGGTTACATATGGGAAAACCCACGAAAACTTCCATGCAGCTAGCCTGTTTGACTGGTTCGAACCCGTGCCGAAACTACCAGTGTTTAGCGATTTTTGCCGGTCGACTGTTGGTGGGCCCTGAATGTTTTTGTATTCCGGTTCAAATGGTGTATTCGGAAAAAATAAATATTTACAAATTGGCGTAATGAGGTGTCCTATAAAATAATTTATTTGCAGCTAAAAAGGTGTGTATTTAATTATGGCACACTAAGGCTATATGCCTAAGGGGAGGGATGCCTTCGTGGAGGACTTTCTAAGGGAAACTGGCTCGTATACACGTTACACATGGGGAAAACCACGAAAACACCCATGCAGCCAGCCCGTTCGCGGGATTCGAACCTCGAACCGAAATACCAGTGTTCAGCGCTCGGCCGCTGGTGGGCTGAAGCTAAAAAGAAAAATTATAACTAGCCTATTTTGTATAAAAGGCAAACGCAAAAATTTTAAAAGGAAATCGATACAAAAAAAGAATAAAAATCATAACTGCAATGAAATTTATGTTTATTTTATGCAAATGTTTAGGTTGCATGCTTTCATTTGCGTATTATAGAATCACAAAACATTATTACATTCATGATAATTCTATCCTGTGTAAGATCTGCTATGAAATGAGGGAACAGCATGCCTGCAAATAATTCTGGATATTTTCGATTGTTAAAACTTTTGATCGAACTTTGAAGCAGGAAAAACTAAAATGAATAATTAAAGTTATTTTTAAAACATTTTAAGAGACTGTTGGAAGTTAAAATTTTGTTTTTGAATCCCATTACAAGAAAAAGCTTTACATATTGAAATACGAAGTCATAAAGTTTTGGCTAGAAGCCTTATTAATGTAATAAGTCATATAGTGCTATATTATGCAATTGAAATTTGATTTATAATTATTAAAATATCTAGAACTACGCTTATATAGTGTTTATGCTACATGATGGACTCCTTTTTGTGCTAGATCACTTGGGAAATGCAGGCCTTCTCCCAAAACTAGGTAAATTCCTTTCTAACCTCGATAGACGTTCGTGAAAAATAAACAGAAATTATGAAATTATTATGCAAAATAAAACAAAATCTGAAAGTTTTCTGATTTTATATTTTTGTTTTTTCAATGTTTTTTGTGTAACCTTTATTTATTAAATATCATATTCTTTAGACTTAAACCATAAAAGTCAATTCAACAGCAATAAAGGTAACACAAAAAATGTTAAAAAACGGCCGTTTGGGCGTAACATAAAATCTGAAAGCTTTTAGCTTTTTTTATTATTATTTTTACTTTTTAATAAAATTTATCTTAGTTATAAATAAATTAAATCAGGAGCAAACAGTTTTGGCTAATACCATATGCAAACTTGCGAACGTAACTCTGAAAATAATTTGGA